TTATCATGTTACACAATGACTCATCTTCCTTCTCTCCTATCCCTACTTCTTGTCAAGAGATTAAGAACAAACAACCAAACAGTCCTTCTGGTGTATACCTACTGGCAACTAATAATGGAACTAAACGTACTTACTGTAATATGGAGGAACTGTGTGGTTCAGGAGGAGGATGGACAAGACTAGGATATCTGGATATGACTGATGCTACAGTGAACTGTCCTTCTGGGTTTAGACTGCTCCAGTCAGGAGGAGTTAGAGCTTGTGGTAGAGCAACATCAAATGTAGGTAGTTGTACATCAGTTCAGTTCCCATCTAATGGTATCAGTTACTCTGAAGTGTGTGGTAGAGTAGTGGGATATCAATGGGGATCAACTGATGCAGCTTCTTTTGAAGGTGCAAGCCATAATGATATCAATTCTTATTATGTTGATGGTGTTAGTATCACTCGTGGGTCTCCTCGTCAACATGTCTGGACATTAATTGCTGGACTGAATGAAGCTAGTTATTATATTTATACTAATGATGGTCGTCACAATTGTCCTTGTTCTCAAGGTAGTACTCAAAACTCAACTCTTCAGTCTTTCATTGGTAATGACTACTTCTGTGAATCTGGTAATCCTGCTACTGATGGTACATTCCAATCCATACTCTATTCATCTGATCCATTGTGGGATGGCAAAGGATGTGGTAGTCTTGAAGGTGATTGTTGTGCTGCTCCTGGTCTTCCATGGTTCAATAAGGTACTAAACACTGCCACTACTGACTACCTTGAGCTGAGGGTGTGTGTAGATGAAGGTACAGCTAATGAAGATGTTCCTGTTAGCTATTATGAGTTGTATGTGAAATGATGAGAAAAACTAATGGACAGTTTACACTTTATATGTAGTTAGCACAACAGTAGATTATTTGAGTTGATTATTGTTAGTAAATTGTCTTTATGCAGACACATATTGATCTCTACCTTTTGTAGAAGGTACGTATATATGAAATTTTGAATTAATACATAATCTATGCCATGACAATAGCATCATGCCTAGGCTGTTAGCTATTTGTTAGCATTAAATATAAGATATATTTAGAACTTAATGCTACAGATCACGTGACTACGCAAGACCACAGTAGCCTCTGCTACATAAGTACCTTTTATGATTATTAGTGTGTGGAGAAAAGCTACCAGTTGCACTATAAGAGCTTCTTTTTGGCTATAGTACAGGGTATTGGTAGAAATTTACTAGTTTCTTTAAATGGCCGTAACTCCAGAATTTCTTGTCGTAGTCAGCTCAAACTTATTGCATGGCATAAAGACATCAATCTGTGTTAGAAAATGTAATAAAAAATATGGAGAGATTTTTGAACCCTTTTTGTAAATGTTCATTTACATTTACTAATTATTAGTACTTATGTCTCATGCATGTCTCTATCACACAATCACATTTTCACATCTTGTTAACACTATACTATTACACAATATGTACTGACACAGGCTTGCCTGAACAGAACATTCTAGAACATCATTCTCTAATAAAAGCACACACTCTCTCTTGCTCTCTCTCTCTCTTTTGATTATTTTTGCTGTTGTCGAATGTTAATTCAGTATTCATATTTGTTGGCTATATCTCCTTTGTTGTACTACCTGCTGACACTATACTGGTAAATCTATATCAGTACAATACTCTTTTAACTTGCTATTTTCGGGTTTCAGAATTAGCTCAAACAGTAAAGAAGCATGAGCTATAGTACACTGTATTTTTCAGAAATTGGCTTTAACTTCAGAATTTCATAGCAGCCATAGATATAATACACGGAACAGGATTAGAAACATGATCACGTGAGCGCATTATACGTTGAAACACTCCTAGTTTTGCCGCAAAGCCTTGCCACGGAATTATAGGCCACACCCACACCATTGCGAGCGCGCAACGTAGCTCAATAATAGTCACACTCATCTGGCAGTGTTGTATCTATGCTGGTAGATTTGTTCAGTTAACACTACTATTCTTTGTGAAAATGGCTGTATCAACAACAGGCATTACTTTAGCAACAGGTAATTGAAACTCACTCTTTATCATGATAATTTTTACTGATGTTATAGTTAACAGCTATGACTTAGTCAAAAATGGTATCAGTAGTGTTTTAAGTGATGAAGCTTTTGATATATCTTGTGAGAAGACATTAAGGTCAAGAATGTGTGCTGAGAAGCTACTTCTCTGGATGAATGAAAATGAAGATGAAGCCAAGCAATTCTGTGTCACTTTTTGCGAGTGACTCAAACATGCAGTGCTGTCAACATTCAAGAACTGTTAAATGTAGGACTTTGAGGCAACACATGTGGTCTCAACTTTTCCAATTTTGCTCTTCTGATGAGTCACTGCAAAAAAATTGGATACGACTACGAGCCCATTTTATGCCAGTTTGTTACTAAAACAGTAACCGAATCTCTCATCAAAAGTTTTTTTCCTATGGTTACTTTGACCACTTCAGCCACTGAAAGTCTTTCACTGGATGATGAAGAATCAAATGCTCTTCGATATTCTGCTGGCTATGTGCTCCGTGCAGTTACCAAAAAAGTAAAAAGATCAGCAAACCCTTTAAAGCAGCAACTGCTGCTATTCTTAAATGAAATGGCTGAGGAAGCAGGTAACTATAATAGTGAGATATTATTTTTAAGCATTAAAATCTTTATTTTATAGGAGACATTGAGCTTGAAAGTACAGAATGCTGGCTTAACATATTAGATAGAGGAGGACTAATTCACATTAGTGATGAGTTGTATATGGTTTTTATTCTATGGAATTAGAAATCCGTGAGCACTTCCATAGCACTACAGACAACTGTTCGAAGGATGACCTTTTAAAAAAGATATTGAAAAATGAAGATCTCCTGTTTCATTGGAATGCCACTCTATCTGTTGACTGGGAAGCCAATGTATCTGATGAATTGTTGAAGTTGTTAACAGAACACTGGATAACTACTCGTGGCTTTTCACATGTTAGTGGCTTTCTCGAACTGTACAAGCAGGAAAAGAAAAAGACACTACAAAAATCTATAGCTTTACGAAATAGACTAGAATCATGTATTGACTGTGATTAATGTAGTTTGATATAATAAGGTAAATCATAGTAGATATAAATATTAAATAAAACGGTCTTATGCATTATTATGTACACTATATTTTGAATTATAATACATTATTTTTGTGGTCTTTTTGGTAGAGGCGAACTATCAAATTGAGATATTTCTGTTGATTTCCCTCCTCTGCAGTTACCTTTAATGGGGCCACAGCAGAATGAATCAACAACTCTCAAAGCTTGCGTGTTGTTGTAAAATTCATGGAGAGTTGGGTTGTCACTAGTGCCACCACGTTGCCTCTGGCATCCAAAGAAATTTTCCAGTGGGTCTTGGCACAGGTTATTACTTTAAAATGCTAATTTATTGTCATTGACATCTTGCATGGAGAAAATTTCCTCAATGAAATCTATGAAAGCCATTGCTATATAAAGCAAGCAATATGTAATATTAAAATCTTATTATAGCTGCCTACCAGTTCTTCTTATGCCTTGGAGAGTTTCTGTCCTTAGCAACATTCTTTTCTTTTCAGCAGGTGTGTATCCTGTTCTTGCGTGAACACTGTTCTCCCAGATTTTTAAATACGGGAGAAACTCTGTCTTTAACCACTGTAACAAATGTTCAGATTTAAATTAAAACCAATAATAATCACTAATGTATTTACTTTCAGTCGGTGGTCATCTTTATAACGATAAGGGTAGCAGAATGGTTTACGAGCTTTTGTTCCTTGTGTGAAGCTGGCAACATTCATTATGTCAAAAAACTTATCAAAAAGCATTACAAATTTTGCTGTCTCTTCTGCCTCTGGTCCTCCAGATGGTCAACATGCATTTTTGAAAAAGGTGTAAGTTCAATATGCTTGAATGTGAGTTTTGGTACCAAAGCCAAACCACTGCCCTTTCCTTTATCTCTTTTGTATAGATCCACTAGGTGCTTCCAAGATATACATTTTCCATCATTCTATATAATGCATCATAATGACAAATATTTCATAAAAACCATTTACCCAAAGCATTCGAGTCTGTGATGCCCAACAATTCCTGACTGTTTTCATCAAATGGGGTGGATCAGTAAAAAAAATAAGGGCTTCTCTTGTCTTTGGCATAAATATTAGGCACCTTGTACACTATGTCACCTTTGTTACCATGTAATGATGCCAGTGAACGATTGACTGACGCCCCATCAAATGTACAAGCCATAACCTAAAAACAATGAATATAACTAATGATGAAAAACTCATAAAATTTTCACAATTAAAACATGTTGTATAATAACATAATATATAACACATAATATATTTACTTTAAAATTCATTCTCTCCAACCGAAAAACTGTTTCCCACAAAGGACTAAAGAGCTGCTCGCCAGTAACATTACAACAAGGAAACAATGCATATGGAAATCTCAATGGAGTGAAAGGCCCTTAACCATGAAAACCATCACAGTGCGAGCAAGTTGCTCTGTTTTACTGGTGCCATCTTCAATTATTCTCTCGAATGCCATTAGGTGATTGTTAATGTCTCCCAAATCAGCAAATCCTGTTAATCTACCAGAGTGTTTATCAAATATCAGACCCTCTTTGATATACATTTCATCAAAAAGGAGGCCTACATACATATGCCAGTCAGGACATTTGCTTATATCAGCAGCTCGCATCAGCTGAAGATCTACATCATTTGAGAAACCTGCCTTGGCTTTGATACAATTTGAATAATCACATAGTGTTTGTTGTGATGGAAGACTGATTATTCCAGAGCTACGGAGTAATTTGTATGCACTACTTGAATGGTGCTTCAAGTACAAGCACTATTTTATAATTAAAAGGTGCCACCTCATTCCCTTGCTGCTATGCACTGCTACAGCTTTCTTTTGTTGCTCCCAGAATAAAGCAGGAAATGACTCAGGAGAATGGGTAGACTTCACTTGGTCATCATGCTCTACCATAATTTGATGTAAATCTGAAGATGTATCATCATCCAAAACAACTCCAATCTTTGCAATTTCCTTGTCAAGCCTGACCTTTAACCTCACAACTTTCTGCTTCAAAAACCTTTTTTCTTGGTGAAGATTAGCCATCCTAGCATCTTTCTGCTCAGAGGTTAAATGTTTGTAATTTACATGGCTGTTTGCTCGTGTTGGATCTGATTGGCTTTGTTTGCCTACCATAGCAGACAATGTTAATCTAAAAATAGTAGATAAAATAAATTGCATTCATTATATAGACTAGGAATTAACCTGTGCTTTTCACAATGGCTGCAACGTCCCAATTTATCTAAAAATAATTGGCAAGAGCTATGGCGAACAGTGGGTGATGGTAGCATCCTGCTATCATAATACGCAACAACATCTGTACCACCTAGAGTATAAAACAATCATATTTTACATAATGAAGTCAGTTATGCTTACTTCTATCTTTGAAATATCCATTGTGTTGTTGTGTGATTCCAGTGAATATGCTGTCAGGATTACCAATACAAATGGGTCTATTTAACAGTACTGTTACAGTTCCAAAACTTCCTTTACCCCACTCAGTTGTTGCCATTTTTGTAGCACGCAAGACTTTTCTTTATCAAATTTCTGCTTTCCAATTGACAAAAACCATGAACAATCAGACTGCACTGTGACCAATAATTCAACAGAACTCCTAGACCCCCTAACAATGAAGAATGATTGATGATTCTCTGATATCGCCAATGATATTTCCCACCCATGAATCATCTTAGATGCTGTGATCTTTTTGTAAAGATCAAAGGCATTTGACTTCAAGTTGCTACTGTCAGTTTCCTTAGTTAAATTTACAGTAACCAAGCTCAAAGGAATTGACAATGGTAATTTAAGGCCGGGATCTTGCAGATACTTCTTTCTCTCATAGTTTTTCCTTAACTGCAACTTGAACTTTCTTCTACCCATTTTTACTAATTAATACAATAATCCAATGAATAAATTTCATAATGATGCTACTTATCTTATCTCTCAAAAAGCAACAAAATAATCCTACAACAAGGCTGCCAGCTGACTGTGTGCAGTGTGTGTATCTATAAGCGCGTGCTCACCGCTTGAATTGTAGGTGTGGCAATTATGATTGAACTCCATTGTGTGATATGATACGGTGTGCTTTGTGGGACTCTCCAGACTTAGTCTGGAAGTTTTACAACTAGATACCTACTGCTATTGATACTTATTATCATCCTACGGTGCACTGTAATGTTTGTTATAGACTGCATTTAATAGTTTTAGAGTACTGACGCCATGAAATATAGCCTTTTGGTTTCAACATGCTATAACTTTCTAAAACTTTTATGCAAGCACTAATGAATGTCTTAATGCACTAGAAATCCTCAAAAAGTAACCATAAAAGCTCATGTCAGTGCGTTTTGCTTTCTTATGTATTTGCTAGAGTCCCACAAACTTTTTGCAAAGAGACCATTGGGGCCCGATATAACTAGGAGTGTTTCAACGTATAATGCGCTCACGTGATCATGTTTCTAATCCTGTTCCGTGTATTATATCTATGTAGCAGCACAGCAGCTCACCAGTTCTTTAAAATTTAATAGAACTAGTCCTCAGAAGAGGATTTGTTGTGTGTTTTGGCTGTTATGTGTACCCTTATCTATCACACTGACTTCAGTACCGTAACGTGATTCTGAAAACTACTAGTTATTAAACTAACAAAGTTTAATTAATAGTATGGGTGTGGTGAAATGACATGGCCCAAAGCTTTAGATATGTTAGGGTTCAGTTAAGCACATAATAAATGGAACATGGCTTTGAGTGGTTTATCAGTTATATACATGTACCTCAGTTTTTAAATGATATTCATAATCCCTCAGGCAATGGCTATGCCCTCTAGATTATGACTATCATTTTAAAAGGCCACTATACACCAGGCAATTCTATTGCAGGTAATCGGTATGTTGTAAGCAAGGTGTTGCCTAGAATAGAACATGTTTCTATTCTAGGCAACAGTGTTGCCTGAAGATCAAAGTAAATGCAGATTGCCTGCAATAGCATTGCCTGGTGTATAGTGGCCTTTAGGTGTATATGTGATACCTTGAAGCAAAAATGTATTTATTTGTTACATTGTAAATCCATCATGATGTATCAGGGACATCACTGCATGATATGGAGGATGAAGTAAATGCTATTGACTTTCATTAATAGCTGAATGCTTAATGACAAGGAGTTGTTAGTGTTTGCAATAAGCAACATGATGCAAGGAAAATGGTAATGGGAAGTTGGAGAACCTTTTACTCGTGTCAGCAATATGGGCCTATTGTTCCTCCTCAGATTCAGATTTCTGGTTCCATATTGCTGGTTTATTCAATGAAATTGCCACACAATGGTTTAGAAGTGATACCATTGCACTATTTTATATTCCCTAGGGATTATTGCACTGGAATTGCAAAACCACAACCTTTGACTTTCGGTTCTGACCCAAGATGTCCTTGGTAAAGATTAAGAAGAGTCTCCTGCAGGATTTTTATCCTTTATAACTAATGTCTAATAATCTCAACAAAATAATTCATAAACCATTGTTTTTAATTAACATCTGACTGCATTCCCAAACTGCCACAATGTAATTATACTAATGTAACAAAAATCACTACTATCATTCACTCCTACTATAGAATACGTTATTTGAATGTTTCCCATTACATACAGCATCATGACTGACGTCATTAGTCAGGCTCTTCTGAATATTATAAAAAGAGTGAGGAGTAAACAGTAAACAATCATTACAAAGAGGATAATAATGCTCTCTCTTCTTATACTAGCTATTGCTTGTCTCCCTCAGTTTATCAGTAGTTCTAATCTTGCTCTTACATTTGATGCTGCTAACAATACCTGTACTGCAGCCTGTACTACCTGCAGTGATACCAGTAATACTGATACCAATCAATACAACACTGATGATGAACTATTGAATGAACTACTCAACACTACCAGGAACAATGGTCAAGATATTCAAGAAATAAAACAGAAAATGGATGGTATCATTTCTTCTCTCTCTCATATCAAGGAAACTGCTACCTCTAATGCTGGAGCTATCAATGATATACTGCTACTAGTGGAAGACCTTATCTTGTTACACAATGACTCATCTTCCTTCTCTCCTATCCCTACTTCTTGTGAAGAGATTAAGAACAAACAACCAAACAGTCCTTCTGGTGTATACCTACTTGCAACTAACAATGGAGCTAAGCACACTTACTGTAATATGGAGGAACTGTGTGGTTCAAAAGGAGGATGGACAAGACTAGGATATCTGGATATGACTGATGCTACAGTGAACTGTCCTTCTGGGTTTAGACTGCATCAGTCAGGAGGAGTTAGAGCTTGTGGTAGAGCAACGTCAAGTGGTGGCAGTTGTACATCAGTTCAGTTTCCATCTAATGGTATCAGTTACTCTGAAGTGTGTGGTAGAGTAGTGGGATATCAATATATTTCACCTGATGCTGTTACTGATACAGACGCAGGTCACAATGATATTGATTCTCATTATGTTGATGGTGTTAGTATCACTTATGGGTCTCCTCGTCAACATGTCTGGACACTAATGGTTGGACTAAATGAAGCTAGTAATTATACTGGTACTAATGATGGTCGTCACAATTGTCCTTGTTCTCAAGGCAGTCCTCAAAACTCAACTCTTCAGTCTTTCATTGGTAATGACTACTTCTGTGAATCTGGTAATCCTGCTACTGATGGTACATTTCAAAACTTTCTCTATCCATCTGATCCATTGTGGGATGGTAAAGGATGTGGTAGTCTTGAAGGTGATTGTTGTGCAGCTCCTGGTCTTCCATGGTTCAATAAAGTACTAAACACTGCCACTACTGACTACCTTGAGCTGAGGGTGTGTGGAGATGAAGGTACAAGTAATGAAGATGTTCCTGTTAGCTATTATGAGTTGTATGTGAAATGATAAGAAAACTAATAAACAGTTTTTACTTTGTATGTAGTTAATACAACAGTAGATTAATTTAGTTGATTATTGTTAGTAAATTGTCTTCATGCAGATACATATTGATCTCTACCTTTTGTAGGAGATATGTGTATTGATTGTTTTGGATAATACATTATTTTTGCTGTGACAATAAATAGCATCATGCCTATTCTGTTAGCTGTTAGTTAGCAATAATTATAAGCACTTATTACTACAGCACACGTGACAATGTGAGACCACTGTAGCCCCTGCTACATACATATTTTGTTAAGATTATTAGTGTGCGGAGAAAAGCTAACAGTAAGAGCCACTTTGGCTATGTTACAAAGTATTTTTCAGAAATTAGCAAATTTTTTAGCATGGCCTTAACTCCAGAATTTCTTGTCGTTATCTATCACCTTGAAACTTTCTACACAGGACATCAATATGCATTAGTGAATGTAATAAAAATTGGGGGTGATATCAGAGCCATTTTTAGAAAAAAAGCATGGGCAATAGTATAGGGTATTTTTCCGAAATTGGCCCATTTTTAGAATCAGCCATAACTCCAGAATTTATTTGAACCAGCTCAAACTTTCTACAAAGGATAAGGGCATCAATATGCTTCAGGAAATGTAATAAGAATCATGAGTGATTTTGGAGTCATTTTTTGGAAAAAAGCATGGGTTATAGTTGCTGTTGTTGACAAGGACAAGCCATAAATAACTCCCATTTCCCTTTGGGCAAGTACAACCAACATGCGTGATAACAGCTGACCTACAACCTTTCCTGCATCTGTTTCATCCTTGCACTAAACAATAATAAATAAAAAGACATCTTTGAATAACACATTTACTTCTAATGCAACCAATGATTCCACTGGTTTCATTAAATTGACAAATATGAGTCCATTTGGGTTTCTCAATAATTTACAAGTCTTCTTATTTACGTCACCACTTTCCTCTTTCACTAAAACTATGCCGTCACATGAAAAACGACTAATCTGTTGGATAGTGTTCGCTGTACTGATTAGTCTGTAAAAAAAACAAATGATGTACTACAAAATGAAAACATGCATCCATAATGTTAAATGGAGCTAAATTGCCAAGTTTTTCGAAGAATTCTTGATCTACATCATTTATAAATTTCTTGCCTGACATCTTAGTTGCAGCTGCCTCAAGTGCATAAAAATATCTCAATATTTTCTCAAGGAGGCAGCCCCCATCCATCTACTAATGCTTTCACAGACTATAGTACAGGGTATTTTTGGAAATTGGCCAATTTATAAAATCAGCCATAAATGCAGGTCCAGGTGATAAGTGGTAGGTTGGATAAGAATACCGTAAATGTTCAAATAAAGGCCGGGCTTGAATAAACGCCTGGTACTAAGAATCTCCAAGTATAGATATGCATATTTTACTCAATATAGGTACCATAATCTTTAGAGTGTCCCAAATGGCCTAACTTGTTAAGCTGAGTGCATTGAATCTTGTTAAGCTGAGTGCATTGAATCTTGTTAAGCTGAGTGCATTGAATCTGGAAGTCCGGGTTCAAATCCCAGTTTTATTTTTTCTTTTTTTTATTTTATGCAATTTTTTTGCCCTGGAAAGAAATAA